AGTGGGAAAGAATGTATAAATGGCCACAGGTCGATATGCCACATTCCATCACAATGCCTCGAAAATTGTGTGAGATCTGTAGTTTGAACATAATAATATCTGGAAAGACATCAGACATAGAGATATATGCTTATATCAATTCAAAAAATTTTTCTGTTTTGAAAAGATGGACCTGACTTAAAACTTTTCAGTTGACTTCGCCTATACGTGTAACATTGGAGCGGCCAGAAAGTCCAGTTGAAAGAGAAAGAAGTAGAAAGTAATGGGTGCAAATGCAATCCCTAAATAGATTCTAATATCTACAACCAAGTACCAAGTACCGCAAATTCTGACATGATAGTCGCGCCTTAGTACTCATGCTATCGATGTTTTCCAGTTGCAAAGAAAAGTCGTTTTTAATATTATTCTTCCGCCTGAGTGGCCAAGTAGCAAGAGTCTCGACGAGCAACTCAATGGTCGTGGTTTCAAATCTCAAGTGCGGTAGAGTTTTTAATAAAACCGAAAGCCTTAAATGCTAGTGCTTTAAGACTTTAGTCTTAGAATTTATTCTCTGGCTAAATTTATAATAATAATAATAATAATAATATTATTATTCCTTTCTATCGCCTTTTAAGTCGGCTTAAGCCCATAAAATAAAAGGAACGGAACACGTATTCTTTGAAAGGAAAATTATACCAAGCAAGATATTAATTTTTTTATTATCATAGTAAATAGAGGGCAACTGGCAAAACTTAAAGGAAATTTTAATGGAGAACTAAAATTTCGTAGAATTACACCAAAAAGAAAAAAAAAAGGACGACAACGATAGTTGTTTTGCCTTTTTTATTCGAGAGTACGCCTAAGCATGTGCCATCAAATTGCTACACTTTCGATTTTTATGTCCACCTGTTTGCTGAGTATATTGGAAACATTAACTTACACATTCACTTACTTACTTCTCAAAAAACTAATTTAGTCTCCAATTATTCCTTATTACCTTAGCTCAGATTAGATGCGAAAATTCGCATAGGCGCAGCATACACTCGCTTCATAGTTATCAGAAAAATTGTTGTAATTGTTTTATTTCTCTTAAATTGTGTCCCATTTCTTTCTGGCCTTCATTGTGTTACATGGTTAGTCATAATAAAAAATAAAATAAAATTTTTATTCACTTTTTTTATGCTTTTTAGTGTAGAGCAGAGACAAACGTAGCAAATGTTCGTTTATTGGCACGCGGCTTTAGAAGACATTCATAATCTAATAATTGCCTTAGGGAAAAAAGCTTTTCACTTCGCGGAATACGCAACATCAGCTAACTTGTCTCTGATATTAACTTTCACTTGAAGTCCGCAGTTTTTCAAAAGAAAAAAACTTGTAAAGGCATCTATAATAAAACATAATACATTATGTATAGCATGTTAGTTTGTTGACATACCTTGTAGATTACAAGGTCGCCTATGAAATATTCTCAAATTGGATAAAAATATGAATTGAAAAACGAATGATATATGTTACGAATGATAAGATGTACGCTGCGGGGTAAGTAAATAAATCTGGGCTCTATCTTAAAATCAAGTAAGAAAGTTGTAGTCGGCGGGGGCCGAATCTCGCATATCCTTCGCTATACTTTTCACATTCTACTCTCCAGGTCCTTTTATTTGATTCCCATATCGCTGGTATTATTAAGGAAAAATTAATATTCACTTTAGAATTAACCCGTTCTTAAACGGATGGAGGAGTGTACAAAATAGTTTTAAACTTTTTTTCTTGTTTGCCTTAAGCATTAAACCTCACAGAAGAAAAAAATTAAATTTAATTACATGTAACTTTGTGTGGACATGGCCGATTGGTTTACTTTTTGGACCTAGCGACTAGAGTGTCTCGCAAAGCAAATGTGCAAAGCGTCAGCCTTCTAACGAGTAAAAATCCAAAACTTTTTGTTCGAAAAAACTGAATTGAGTTCAGTTTACGCGTCACTGCCCGCTTCTGCGCTAACCAATTTGGCTCATTTTCAATACCAACCTATGTGCATAAACTACCAATGTTTCTATCAAATTTGAAGTTAAGATCTTCATTTTTGCGACCTGGAGTAGGCCAACAAAACACACTGCCCAGACGCACAAATATGGCTAAATCAACTCAGAATTTCACACTGATCAAGAATATATATACTTCATAGGGTCTTTGGTATTATCGAAAAAAAAAAGTGAATGTACCTCCATCTTACAGTGGTGGGTGCAAAAAAAAAAAAAAACCCGACAGACATTTATTGATGATCAATTTCAGAGCAATTTCGATATAATTAGATAGTGAATGAAAATTTTTGCGACTGCATGTCGTGCAATTTTGAAATAAATTTAAAGCATTGATTGATTGCCTACTTTTAGGTAAATTAGTTTCAAAATAATCATTACCTAATTCGAGGCTCATTTGCTATTAAAATCAAACGATTTGAAACTGAACTAAACCGTTGAAACTTGGTATGGCCCGATCTTTATAGCAAAAAATTTTAAACGCAGTGAATATGTTTATTAACGAAGCGCATATATATGAAAATTTTTAAATGTTTAATTTTTTTTCATATTTTCATTTTTTTTTTTTTTTGTGTGTTTATTTATAAATAAAAGTGCTGTTTCGTGTGCTGTATCGAGTAATTGAGTTTTTAAAAATTTTGCAATGAACGAATTGATATTTTTGAATGGCAAAAAACAAAAAGAAAAAAAACAATTAATTTATGTTGCAACACTTCTAGGCAAATATGCTATGTGCTTGAAATTGAGGAAATGCATATTGTTCGGAGTTGGTTTTAATTTTTTGCTATATAAACTTTAATTAAAATTAATATTTATTACTATTATAAATATTTTGTTTGCAATTTATGAACATATCCAGCATGTTCTAAAAGATCATTCGTTCGGTTGTTTTGTGTATAAAATATTTGTGAATTTCGTTTTAGTAAAAATTGTACAAAAAGAATATATTTATATATCTATATATTTACCTGTATACATATACATATATATATATAAACATATATATATATATATATATATATATATAGGTATATGATATATATAGATATATATATATGATATATAGGTATAGGTATAGGTATATGTATACATATACATATACATATATATATATATACATATATATTTACATCATTATTTACGCGCTATTGAAAATTTAGACGACAAAAATATATTATATCTGATTGTATAAAATCTACAAAAAAAAAAAAAAAAAAAAAATTTAACGAAAATATTTCTAAAAATTATTTTATATCAAAACTTATATGTTCTTTATTTTTGTTTTCTTTTTTTTTTTCGTCTACGATTTTTTTTTTTATAAAAAATTTAACTAGGAAAATTAAATTTCTTGTTATATTTTTATATATATATTTTTATATAAAAATGTTAATTTTTTTTCTATGGTTGACTTTTGGCGTACAGTTGTTACTTGGTAATTTGAAAATGGTGAGGGAGGGAGGGGGGGGGGGGGGGCCCCTACCTGATGGCAGACTACTTTCTTTTAATTTTCATATTCATTTCTGTTTTTTTTCGCTTTTAAACGAATTTTTAGCAAACATTTTATTGTACATTTATTTATTCATTTTTGTTCTTTTTTTTTTTGTATAATAATGTGATCTGTTATTTTTATTACTCTTAGGGGAGGTGTTGAGAACAAAACAGTTCCTCTTATTTATTTAAAGTCAGTCCAGTATTGCTATACTTCAGCTCTTGTGATTATTGGTGACCAACAACAGACGCACGACGGATAGGCGGTAAATATCTGGCTTTATATGGGTATATACCGCACGGGTTTATGATTTTTAAAGAAATCTCGTAAATATATCCATTACATATCAGATCAATAATTGAGTGATAGTGATAGTAGATTATATTTGTCTGCTTGCGGATAAAATCCATTTTAAAACATGATCTACGGCCATCAATGAAATTTTTATTTTATATACTAAGAACAACATCGATTCGTCTTCTATATCATCTTATGGACTTATTGGGGATTGTGTTTAGCTTTTTGAATTTTTTGCGTCACCTGGCATTCCGCACGACAGAGAAGCGAGTAGAGAAACGGCCATAATTGGATCGGCTTATGATCTTTCATTAATCAAGAATATCTATTGGTTTTAAGGTATTTTTTGCGCGTATCCCATGGACGGAACGACCAACTGTCGCAATCAAGCATAAAATCGCTCGGAATTATACTGGAAAGGCTTTTTACTTATTTATTGATTAATTCAATTATTATATTCATATCTTTTCTCATATTCCTATAAACATTTTGCGCGGTTAGTGTTTGCTTCAAACATGTCTGTCCCTTTTTTTTTAAATTATTTTTTTTATTTTTTATATTTCTTAACATGTTTTATTATGAAATGCTTTTAGGAGACGAACTATTTTGCTTTAATTTTTTTTTTTTTAAATTTTTCTCAATTATAAATACTATTACAACAAATACCCGTAATTACGTTATTTTACTGCTGGTTTTTTTCTTTTTTCTTAATTTTTTCATTTTTGAGGTGTTTTATTTATTATTATTTATTTATTTAATTATTTTGTTTTTTTTTTCTTTTTTTGTTAAAAGGTTTTTTTAGTTCTAATTCTTGGGTTTGTGTTAGCTTTTGTTTTATATGTCGTTTAAACCACTACTACAACTATTGTCTGAAGTTTTTTTTTTTAAATGTTGTTTTTATTCTTTTTATTACTTCGCTTTCAAGAGTTTCTTTCACTTAAAAATTAAACGCAACTTGAGGTTTCAAGTTATAATCTGATCTGGCGCAAAAGGCAAGCTTAGCGTTTTTCTCTTTTTCCTCATTTGTTTGTTTTTTTTTTTTTTGTTTTTCTTTTTCAAATTTCTGCAGAAAAAAACGCCTGCATTTTTAGGGTGGGGTTAGTTTTTTCTTCTTCCTTGTTTTTTCTTTTCTTTCTTTCGTTTCTTTTGTTTTGTTTTGTTTTTGAAAAAAATAAAAAATAAAAGAATAAAATTAAATAAAATAAAAAAATTGTTTCCCTTAATTTACTTAAAATATAAAATCACCGCAATCCATGGCATAGTCAAAGTCCTCACCGCCTAAATCCTCAACGCCGGTAGAATGAAAATCGAACCCTCCAATATCGGTATGATAAATGGCGCCACTGCATGTCGTATCTATTAAATTGGTGCAGTGCGTTGTTGGCAGTGCATGCAATGTAAAAGTATCCTCACATTGTGACCAAGTTAAGCCTGTTGTCGTATAATGAAAGAATTAAAGAAGAGTGACATACTCTATTTATATTTTTTTTTTTTATAATTTACCTCCACTCCATACACCGTTCGGTAAAGTAGCCCAACCCCAACCATGACCCCATGGCAATGGGCAGGCCAATGAAGCTTTCGAATCCGGTTTTTTACTCAATATTGCTACGGCAGCGTCACTTTTAATTAAAGGATTCTGATTATAAAATGTCCTTTGACTAACTGATATTTTACTATTTGCCAAAGCTTTCCTTTGCTTGACCTCCGTCGACGTTGCCGCTGTAAAAATTTATAAAATTAACAGCCTTGATAACCAATAATAAATAATAAAACAACTTTTTTATCAGTTTTGTTTAAAATTAAATTAAACTCGTATCTGAATCGTAAAACTTTTCAAAATCAATAAATTTAATAAATTGATATTACAAATGTGATTAATAGAATTTACTATCGATTCGTTGTTGTGTGTAAATAAATAATTTGCATTTATATGAAATTATTCCTAAATAAATATATGCATATGTGTAGCTTTGTTAAAGGTGATAATTGATAGTAGCTAGATGAAGACGAGAGCAATTTGAAAGCTTTCATTACTTCATAATAAGAAAGTGAAATTTTGCTATTCGCCTCTAAAAATTGAATTTTTTTTTTTCGTTTCGGCACACGTGAGGCGCAAAAAGGTGCAATTCTGTCTTTAAAAGACCCAAAAAAAAAAAAAAAAAAAAAACAAAAAAAAATGAACTCTTAGTGAAAACTCATCGAGGAAAGAGAATCGGGCAGAGTATTTAAACAAAAAAGGGCGAGTTTTCGATCCAGATGTAAGAAAAAGAAAAAAATATAACAAAAAATTTAACATAATAAAAATATTAATAAAAAAATTTTAAAACTTTCTCAAAACACGACGCTTCAGAGCATTCTATAAAACGATTTCCAGAATTTTTTTTATTTAGTTATTTTCGTTCGATTTTTTTTCAACACTTGAAACTCTTAAATAAAATTTTTTTTTTGGTTTTTCTCGAAAATTAAATCGTTTCACTCAAATGTTAACCTATCACACAAACACTAATAACTTATGCTACGATTGTCTATCACACAAATAATTCTAATGTTATTTGTTTTTTTTTTTTTCCTTTTTTTTTCTAGATATAAATTTGCACCAGTCACACCATGAATCGGTATAACTCAGGTATTGAAATATTTTAATTTTTAATACTTTTTCAAACATCATTTTTTTGCTCAGTATTTAAATATACGCTCGATAGCATCGTCGAATGCTATTATTGACTTTTCTTCCATACCGAAGAAATTTTCAAAAATGTCTTCTTTTTTTTTTTTTGGGAGTGTTACAGTGGTGTTACGAATCTGTCGACTAAGCCGTATGGATTAGCTTTTCCTATGTTAGTGCTTTCAGCGTGCAAGGAATCGGTTTTGTAATACGCATGGATTGCATGCACTTGTCTTTTTATTTTGCCTTTCCTGGGTTTTTCAACAACAAATCGTTCAAAGTGATCAACTGTTGTAATAGTATTTGGTATCGGACTTTATAGACTATCGCCTGCTTACTGTAACGATTCAGTCTTGTGGTCGATGGAAATCATGCGTCTCGGACTCTCAAAGTAAATTTATTTTATGAATGGAAATTCTTTTAAAAAAAAAGATAAAGTAATCATAGGATGATGACAAGACCGTTCGACCAAAGACGAAGTGTTTTCAACGGATGTTACTTTTTTGCGCACGCGACTCTATACCGTTAACGCTATTGCGTTGTCTGCTGTCGTATATATATATATGTAATGTTAGAAGTTGTAAAACTTTTATTAAATGACAACAACAAAACTGGCGCCAATGACGCAATTTGGCCGCACTTATAGCCATATATGGGCAAATTTTGGTTTCGTATTTCCCCATCTCACCTATACAGTAGACACTTTAGATTGTAATTCGTTACAATTTGGGCAGGGTACGGCAACTAAAATATACATTTTCAGAATTCTTCGTTAAAACATAAGCAAATCCACTAAATCGATTTTTATGCTTAAGACGACGTAAGGGATAACTAGTTTGCTGCTTTTTAAACATCACGTTAAGCATGATTTCATTTAACATGCAGACATTTAAAACCGATTCTGTCGTTCATGCTTATCAATATAAATATAGTATTGGGCAATAAAGTATTTATGATGACCTTTGTTGTGAATGTAAAAAACTTGACAATTTTGCTGATCATATAAAAAGTAATTGGAGAGGACTCTTTTGAGTTCATATCGCAAACAGTGCTTGTAGTAAGTAAATTTTGTTATTATTTTTTTATTTATTTTTTCTGAATTGACTTTCAACGACCTTTTTTTGTTGTGTTCGGTAACTATTATTTAGTTGCAATTGAAAAATGAAACGGAAAAAATTAAAAAGAGAGAGAAAAAGGAAAAGCAACAAAAAAAAAAACAAAAAGAAAAAGTCAATTTTTCCCACTTACGTCTTATGCGTACCAAAGGTCTACGTAAAACATTCATTAGATGTGGCTTATCTACAACCAATTCAATTTGTGGCGGTGGTGGCAACTGCGGAAAGTATTAAGAATAAAAGAAAAACAATACAATAATAATAATAAAACAACAACAACAACAACAACATGAACAACAACAATGATAAGTAGTCAAGATAATTAGATTGTTTTTTCATTTTCATTTTTACACAATTTCATTGCTTTCTTCTTTTTTTTCCTTTTTTCCTTTTTTCCTTTTCTTTTAATTTTACTTTTTCTCTTCGGAATTTCTATCATTCTGCTTATAAAGCGCTACTGTATTTCTCCTTAGAGAGAGAAGAATACATTCGCAAGCTTAAGCATGGTATATATGTATGTATGTATGTATGTATATATATGTATATTATATACTTACGGTTTTCGTAATAGCATCAATCCATTCACTTAACGAACAAAACAATTTTATAATAAAAAGGAGAAAAATGTTTCCGTTGTTTTAAACATTTTACATGAATGAAATCTTACACAATAGAATATATATATATATATATATATATATATATATATATGTATATATGTACATATGTCTATGTAATATATGCGTAGTTTATATGCACTATATATGAAGGCTTAGAGACTGACCTGACTTCCTGTTCGGATTTTGCTAGCATCCAATATACTTTCGAACGTTTTCGACGCGAACCCAAAGCAATCAATTGCGAAACACTGCAACCTTCGGGTAGAGGTGGTCTACGCGGTATTTGCCCAGTCCAATGAGCTATGGCCAACATTTCTGGCGCCTCTTTAACAAGAATTTTACCAGCTGGCGATGATCGGCCAGGTTCCTAAAAAATATTTCATATATTTTATTTCATTATAGCGTGACATGGGGAAAACATTTAATTTACCGTAAACCAAGCCATAGTTGAATCGTCATACAAAACCACCCATTCTTCAGTCCATTTCTTCCACAACAATTGTTCTAATTGAAAAGAAAGAAACGAAAAGAACGAATTCAAAGTAAATTAACGCTTAAGTTAATTTTCAACTAATTACTTAAATCATCGTACGAGAAAAATAAGGATTTAAAATCGTTTAAAAAGAGAAAAAAAAAACGGCAACAACACTAAAGCAAGAGAATTCTGTCAAAAAATTCGAATAATTTATGAAATTTTAATGTGACAAGTGTTAAAATACATCATCGTAATCATCATCATTATCATCATCGTAATTATCATCATCGCCATTGTCCCTGCTACCATTTCTATCAACATTATCAACATTAAGACAAATATTAACAGTTGCCTGTTGTGGTCGTACGCTGTCGCTTGCGACATCCGACGTCAACGCTTTAGTTTTCATTATGATGACTCTCAACATATTATAATCGTGTTCATTATTTTGTAAAAGTTTTATTCTATCCTTCATGCTCGCTTCTTCTGTCTAAGCTTACCCACTGGGCCTTATAGTTATTCATGAGACTTGAAAATGAAACGCATTAGACGGCACATTCACAAACACCGACTGCTTGACTGTCTTCCAGTCAAGTGTGCAATCATGTTGTTGAGAATTTCATATTTTCTTTTGCTTTTGCTTATGTATTTGTTTTTTTTTTTTTTTTTCATCATTTTTCGAAAGATATTTCTGTTTTGCCCCATGCCCCATCATCAGTAACTTGCTGCGTCAAAACAGTATGAATTGCACAGAATGCTGATTTAGCTTGTTTTGCATAATTTATATAAAAATGTTGGTTGCTTTCATTTTTAAACAACAATCATCAAAAGTTAATGCAACACTTATCCATTAAATCTAATATTTTTCAAGTAACTGATAGCGAAAGCAAAAAAGTTCAACATTTACTTAAAAAAGAAATAAAACGAGAATTAAGAAAGTTATGTTCAGCTCGGACCGAATCTCGTAAACCCACTAAAATCTTTGACTCCCCATATATTTATTTATTGTCATAAAGGGTGAATAAGATTAAAAAATTATCTATCACCTTTTAGTTCATTACAAGGTATTGTGACGCCAACCATAATCAATTTAGAATTAACACTTCTCGCCTAACTCTCGGACTCTCTCTCTCTTATATATGACATCCATATGAGCGGCATTTTTAAGAAAACATGTATCGATCATGTCATTCAGAATGAATACACCTGCCTTCTACCCTCCAAGTCCTTTTATTTTATGGACGTATCACTGGTATAGGTAAGTCCTGGTGTCCAGCACATTTATTTTAGAAACAACCTATTTTTAGGCAGATAATAGATCTTCATTTAAGCAACATATTATATAGTTATGCACATTCTTTTTTGTTTTTCTTATATAATCAATAAGCATAAGATCTCAAAAGAGTGAAAAAAAGAAAATTTAATTACTTATAATTTTATATGGATATGGGCGTAAAGAGTAGAGTGTTTCGTAAAGTAAATGGGAAAAATTTCAATCTTCTATCTTTCATAATTTGCATCAGCAAAAGCCTACAAATTTTTGCTTAGAAAACAGATGTTGTATTCACTTTACACTCCATTGCGGACTTGTGCGCTGAACAATTTGGCCCATTTTCAATAGTAACCTGCGTGCAAATACTTGCAATGCCCTCGTATCACATTGAAGATCAAAGTTTTAATTTTTGTGACCAGCAGAGTGAGGATAACGCATAAACACGGACAGACATGGCTTTACCAATTCAGAATTTCATGCTGATCCAGAATATGGATATTTTGTAGGAACTCTAAAGCAAATATTATGACAAAATGAATATATCCCCCCCCATCGTACTGTGCTAGGCATAAGAACAAGATGTTTTCATTAAATTCTTTCACTTATTAAAATACACTAAAGATTTTGGGTTATCTTTCACTCACTTTTATAACGCAATAGATAGCCTCCTTTGATTTGTTTACCAACATTACCTGCAATAAATAGAAAAACATTATATTTAATAATTAATGTATGGCGGCATTTATTTGCATTTATTATACAGTAAAAGTTCCCGAAGAGATCGCGAATATGGAATTTTGGTTGGATACCTATTAGAATCCTTTTATTCTTATGTATGTATTTATTAGAATCCGCGAATAAAGAAATTTATAGCCGCGAATAGAGGAATTGTACCGCATTTTTTTAACCCGCAAATAAGTAAACCGCGAATGAAGGAAGCGCGAATAAGGAACTTTTACTGTATAAATTATGTATTTCGCTAGATATGCTATAGTTGCGAAGTAATAAATGTTAAAAATTTTTCGATTTATAGCGTAAAGTATGTATGAAAACTATTGCCCCCTTTTAAGGAACAGCGTATAAAAATTTTTAATTGCCTGCATTTAGGAGAAAAATAAATTATTATTTTCTGAAATTTTTAATCCTAGTTTAACTGATATTGAAAAATTGCTTTGAGAAATATTAACTGCAATAATATTTAATATATATTTATGTATTTGTGTGCGTGTGCGTGCCATTTTCTTTGCCAAAAAATAAAAAAAAAAAAATAGATAAATAAAAATATGCATATATATATGTATATACACATATATATTGTGACAAAGTAGCGAACTTAACATAAGCGGAAAGAAAAAGTCAAAAACAGACAAAATCCGTCCCATCAAGGTGACTGTATTCAGGTGCTCGCCATTTTCGTTTATATATACAAAGTTTCAAAAGCATTAGAATTAACTCGAACTTGGGCATCTTTATGCTCGATGTTTCATAGAACGTTGAGCACACACAATACTCGAATGTATGCAGATAAAGGAAAAGCTTATAGAATCCGTTTAGAAATTACTAATGACGATCGAAACTCGTCCTTTGGTTATATGAATCATTCATTATTTACTATAACAGTATAACATATATATGTAACATGTATGTTCATATATTTATTTATTGATTTTTTTTTTTTTGGCAAATAAATTCACACGCATACATAGACTGGTGTGTGTTCTCATAGACATTTTTCAATATTTTCAATATTAGCTAAAGCGAATTTTCTTCATCGAAATGCAGGCAATTAAAAGCTTTTATATGCTGCTCCTAAAACTAGGCAATTGTTTTCATATTTTACGCTGCAAAATTTCACGTTCTACGCATACATTTTGTGATTTATTTATTCATTTATTATCTTTTTTTTTTTTGTCGGGTAAAACAATTTATGTATTAGTTGGTTATTTTATAATAATTTTCAAAGGAAGATAATATTTTTTCAAGTTACTTATGGCAACAGATCGACATGGAGTTAGAAAAACTGTCTAAGCGCACCGGTGAAGAATCAAGCAAGAAGAATATGGCAAACCTCATTTGCTTGCTTGCATCGAGAGAAACAAGACTGACAAGAATATATAGGTAGGCAATTTTCAATCGACTTACTGAACTTTATCAAAACAGATTTTGGGAGAATACAAGGAAAATGCTGGACGCAATGCTTGATAGAATGAAATATCGAACGGCTTTGCGCTCGTTACACACATCGTAAAAACAGTTGACAGCAATTTAAAGGCTGAGACCTGCACAATCCAATTTATTTGTTCAGGATTTTTTTGGTAGTTGTGCATGAGACCTTTGCCTGCTTAGCGTAGTGTTTCATCTGATTTGATTTTGAGACAAATAGATTTATTTGTATCTATTCCGCTTTCGTGCTAACCACCAGGTATTTATATATGTATTAAAAATGTATTTGAAAAATCGAACAAACCCTTAATGGCGAAGGGAATTCCTTCTAATAATGAATGGCCAAGGATCACTTCAAAATTCACTTATATATACATATATATATTTGTTTTTTCATTCGATATAAAAGAAATGAAAAGCAAAAAAAAAAAAAAGAAAAAAGGAAAAATCATTAACGATTCATTTTCATTTATTACAAATGCATTCTTAATAAAGAGAAAATAATATAAAAGAATTGAGAAATAATAGAATAGCATGTTGATTGAAATAGAAATTTGCAATTTAATGTATTGATGGGAATTCAAGCGAAGTGAAACGCTGACTGTTTTCATGCTTGAATTTCAATTGCAACTGACCTAATTAAAATTGAAAATTTTCTTAATTTTCTTAAATTAAATTATTTATGAGTGCATCTTTAGGAAATGTAGAAATCAGAACTGAGAACTTTTCGAACATTTTTATAAATCTTTCCTTAATGATTGATTGTCATAACTAATAATATTATATATATATATAACAGATGCAGAAATTAGTCTCGATGTAATACGCCATAGTAAAGAGTCGATCATATTAGGCCTAAGCTACCGCATAGCTTTGCAGATAAGAAACGCAACTATCAAGTCGACATACTCATGTTTAATTCTCAGTGCGGTAAACCATACTTTAATTATTACCAGCTACCATGTGGTTAGTCTTCTGGTGACAGATCGGACAAACACCTCCTAGATCTCTCTTGCTTTTCCTAATCTTCGTTCCCCACTTGTTTTTCCCTGACCGTCACTATGGTTTTACAATCATGAGGCGAAACCCTTTTAATAGCTAATCCTTAAAGCAGAGGAAAATGTTAGACGTAATATGAAAAATATTGAGAGCATTTCGCAAAGTATGTTTCGCTGCTTTGACTGCCAAGAACTACTACTCCTACTAACTATTTGTATTTATGTACTAAAATTCCCCATAAACTAAATATCGAAGATTGTAGCTTTCTATTTCCTAAAGCAGGGTTGCTTGCAGTTTTTGCTTTACTGTGGGCGTGTCCTTTGGCCGATTTAGCTTATTTTCAATATCAACATTCATGCAAGAATTTCCAATGCTTAATCGACATTTAAATTTATGCGACCAAGAGCAAGGCACAATGGCATATATCACAGACAGACAGACAGACAGACAGACATGAGTAGATCAATTTAGCGATCTGATCAACAATATCTGTACTCTTTGAAGTTTCCTTTTTGAGTGTTGCAAACATTACAACAAAATGAGTATATATCTCATTATGCTGGGATGGGTATAAACAAATTTTTATTTAATTTAAAAGAGAATATTATTTGAAATGCTTCGAAAGAGAAAGAGTGAGTTAGAAGAGGAATAAGTGAGAAGGCGAACAACATATACGAATGATAAAATGGTGCTGCACCTAGTCGCAAATACAAGCAGGTGTATTAAGCAAGTGAATTTGTGTGTGCGTGTGCGTGTGCGAGAGCGTGTGCATGTGCATATGCATGTGCTTGACTTGTGTAGCTATTCACGACAATGCCAATAACAATAAAGTTATTCACAAAATTTTGCAACAATTGCTTTTCACTAAAATTGAGCAGAGAGGCATAAAATCAGCAGAAAACGTGAAATCCACTTACTTTATATAAATTTATATATAAATGTATATATATATATATGTGTCAATGTATCTATATCATATATACATATATAATGTATAAATGGATTATCAAGTTATGTACAGAGATTTGTTTGTATGGATTGGCGTATGTGTGCGCCTATGTGTATACATGTGCATATATTTGTGTGAGGACAGGAGGAAACTCTTAAGTTTCTTGTAAATTTATGCATGTGCATGAATGTGATTGCATTGCATATATAGTGGTATCCCGACGAGATTTTGGATAGTTGAAGAAGTAGCATTTTTGTGTGAAAAAGAACGAAGCAAGACACACACACACACCACAAAAACAAAAAAAAAGAAGATATATATTTTGCATTTGCATAGAAGAGAGCTTTGAGAATAATAACACATAAATCTTAAGATAATGTCAGTGTGACTGATTAACATTGATTTACAATGCATTTGGTAAGCATTAGAAAAAAGAAAAAAAAACTAAACGATACAAAATAGATTTACAACTGTTCTCCCACTCAGGTCTAGCATGTAAGGCATCGTATCGTATCGTATCGTATCGTATCGTATCGTATTTATTATAAAAAACTCCAATAAAAAAGCAGAAATCTTTACCGTTATTCTCACACTTAATTAAAAACCATTTGGTTTCTTTACACATTGACTGACTGTCGGAGGATAAGATGTAACAACTACTAACCAGCAGACATATGTACCTTAGAAAATATATATTTTCTCGACTGGTGTTAGATTCCTTGTGGCCCATTGACCTTTTCATCTATCTGAAATTAAACGCAGCAACAAACTGTGACAAGGCACACAAAATGAGCTTAGCTTCGAACGATGATGATTCCCTTCAAAAGTGACCCGCTTAGGCTTGTTTTCTAAATCGTTTCGTGCTGATTGATTGCAATGCTTGCTTGCTCTTAGACCAAATCATCAATGGACAATGGAAAAGAGGAAATTTTTTTTTTGGCGTCGATAGCAGCAAATCTAAGGAACGTGTTATACCTTAGCAAGAGAACAATGCCCGAATAGAACATATACACCGATGCCTCTATATCGTTTGGGTGGTGATGTCTTCTTCAAAGATTCATTGTAAAGCAATGACTTTACCTTTGTATCATTGATCTGCTGTCGAAAACTTTTAACTTTTGTACGTTCGTTGCTTGAGATGATATCGGGAATGGGTAATCCCGTATCCTCCTACTACGACTCTTTTAAAAATTTACTGATGAGAGATGTGTCTACAGCCAATTTAACGCTCATGTACGCAAAACTGCTGCCAAAACAAGTGCTTACAAATTTTCCCACTTAATGTTAGTAATGTATGCTTCAGGTTTCGTGTTATTATCACTTGGCAATCATTTATGACCATTGTTCACTTTAATAGGCATATGCACGATGCTGACCGTATTGCAACGAATTCGTCTATCGCCAAAGTTGCAATGTCGCGAAAACCATACACATGTATATATGCATGTATGTATGTGCGTATGTGTGTATGTATGTATATATGAGACCGAACTAGAGTCAATACTCGCAGCATTTGGAAGAAAGTTTTCAATTTGCCGACACGCTAGCCAAAGATTTGATAACATATTGGCTGGCAAACGT